CACACACACACACACACACACACACACACAAAGAATTAAAGGGATATATGTCTCTGAGGCAGGAAGGCAGGGCAGGGCTAACAATGGATGGGAAAGTAGGTGTGAACTATTCATCCCAAGACACAAGCACAGAACAATTCTCAAAGCCCAGCCTGTGGACTTCTCTCAAGAATTCAAGCAGGTTGATAGGATGACCTGGACGTGATTCCAGGATAGGAAATATAAAACAGACAGTCACTATTAAGCATTTGCTGTTTCTCTTCACGAAAGCCCATACTACTCTGTAGGCTGTATTTTTTCTCCTCCCCTTCTCCCTACTTTTATTTGGCCCAAACTCTTTCTGCAGCGCCTGTTTTTTCCTACCTTTAATAAATGCGAAACTTTGCCACAGTTTGTTTCATTCAACTCCACGGGAGAGAAAGAATCTAGACATCACCTACAGAAGGAGACTCCAGTACCCCAAAACCTGATAATTGAACTCTACTCCTGCCCCCACTCGAGGGCCACACTTTAGAGACCTGGTGGAGTCCCCGCTAGTCCGGAAGAGATCTAGCCACACTGGAGCTTTAGCTGTAACCCTGGCCCTGGTGGAGTCCTATCCCTGGAGAAGCCCTATCCCTCGTGGCGGCTCAGCCCTAATCCCCTGGAGAGGGAGCCATATCCCTGGCAGAGACCAGGTGCGCGTCCTAAAGAAAACTCTGGGGCTCCGTACCCCGCCCGCGGGGCGCTCTCATGGAGATCTGCGCCTGCGCACACGCGTTTCCGCCTCCTCTGGGCTCCCTGGCTGCCTCCGGAACGTGTGGTGAGTGCGGCCCTAGGCTCAGCCTGGCTGTTTCCTTCCTCTGAGGTCTTTGGTCTGTTACAGCGCTTCCGTTTGTTTCTCAGTCTCTGTCTTGGGCAGTAATGGGAGTGCAACAATGAGTGGTGGCCAGGTCAGGGCAGGCAAGCGGGAGCCGGTCAGACAGGGTACCGAGGAGCTGGTTCGGTGGGCCCGGTTCCCTCCTGAGAGCCGCGCGCCGCCGGCCGCCTGGCCTGGCCTCTGGTGCGGTTAATAAAACTATGAGGAGGGCGGGGCCTTCTGTCCTTTTCCCTGTGTGGCCCCAGGCATTCAGTGCAGCAGTTTGAGAAACGTCCAGCCAGACCTAGTGTCCACTCCAGGGCGATCAGCCGTGGTCACCTGTCGTTTGAGGACTTCTGAGGCAGGCATACTAGATGCGGGAAATGTGGAGCAGAACATGGGCCGGGGCAGTTTGGCCATAAACCGCAGTGAGCCCAGGGCTGAGTGCTGGGACGGAAAGTACGGGGTCCATCCAGGTACTGCAGGGAGAAACTGTGTAGGAGAAGGCGGCAATCTTGTTAGCAGTGGCGACTGCGTGGCAATGCACATTATAACCTACCAAATATAAACATGTATGGTCTGCTATTCGTTGTACATAAATTTAATCTGATTTTTTAAAAGAAAATAACAGGATAAATAGAATTTTAGAAAGTGAGGTGGGACTATTTCAGGCATGAGAACTACATTTGCAAGGATGAAAATGTAAGACTGTGGCCTTTTTCTGGATGTAAATCGGATTAACTGTAGGACCATATACAGTACGTAGAAACTGTTTTAGAGACAAGTAGGCTATTTGTTTTCATTCACGGAGGGAGCCTTCCAGGCTAGTCCAGATATTCTCTCTCTCCCCCTTCAACTTACTGAGTCAGAGATGAATCCTAGATTGATGATCTTTCCAATGGATCACACTGTCTTGATCTAACTTTCTTTCTTTCTTTCTTTTTTTTTTTTTCCTCTTTTCAGTACTAGGGATTGAACTTGGGTCCTTGCTCTCACCAGGCAGGCAGCAGCACTATTGAGCTAAATCCCCAGCCCTTGACCTAAATTTCTTGCAGAAGGCAATATGATCCTTTGAAATTATACAGTGTGGTGGTTTCACATTAAGTAGGTTTAATGCATGGAAACATAAAATTTTCATGCAAATAAAGGATAAACGAAGCATCTAGGAACCCTCGAATTCCTTTGGAGGCTGCCTGTTAATGTGCCCCACCCATTCGCTCATATGCTCCATCTTTCTGTAATCTTCACTCTTATTCTTCTCAGGCAAAGTTAAAACACCATCTGCTCTTTAACTTTTTTCCTGTTCTCACTCAAGTTCTCACTATGGTAAGGAACAACACTCCCATAATAAAGCGCTCAGCACATTCATATGATTATTTCTTCTCTCTCTACAGTAGCGAGGGTGAACCCAGTGCCAAACTGCAACCCAAAACCCACTTTTTTATTGCAAAGTGCCAACACTGCAATTAAACCTGAATACTGAGGTTTTAGTTTAGAAACAACTCTACATTAATACCCTTTGTCTTTAAAGACAAACACAGTAACACATATGCCACAGTTAAGCCACACTACTCTAGAGTTTCTCAACCTCAACATTGTGGATACTTGGGGCAGATAATTCTTTATTGTGAGGGGTGTCTTATGGATTGTAGAAGGTTCCACAGCATTGCTGGCCTCTACCCATTTGTTGCCAATAACATCTCCCCAATTATGACCATCAGATGTCTCCAAATAATGCCAGATTTTCCCCTTAGGAGCACAGTGGGTTCTGGTTCTTCCATAAGAACAACTGATCTAGAGGATGAGGCCCAAGATCAGTTTATAATAACTAACACAGTACTTGCCAACCCTTTGGACTTGAACATCTTTTGAACTATAATTTCACAAGCTCATTTTGAAATTATAAAATAACAAAGTAGTAACTTGGGAGGCAATCTTGGTGGCACATGCTTGTACCCTGCGAAGCTGAGGCCGGATAATTGCAAGTTCAAGTCCAGCTTGGGCAACTTAGTGATTTGAATGTAACTATTATGTACTGAAAACATGCACTAATAAGCATTTTAAAATTAAATTTTAAATTGGGGATACAGCTAAGTGCAAAGGCCCTAAATTCAATCCGCAGAACTCCACTCCACTCCCCTGCAAAAAGAGGAAAGTTTATTTAATTTTGGTGATGTTTATTTTGTAAACTTATCCCCGTTGAACTGGTGATGCAGTTTTGAACTTGCTTCAATATTGTAGAGTCTGTAATTACTAAAATCGCAGCCTCTTATACTCTCCATGCACTTCATTGGCCCTATTGTCACCTAACATATTCCTCATTTATTTGTTTTTTTGTTTGTTTTTGGTGCTGGGGATTGAACTTGAAACTTTGCTCTTGCAAGCCAGGCGGTGACACCACTAAGCTATATCCCTGGCCCTCATTTATATTGTTTATGGCATCTTTATGCCTCAATTTAGTATAAGCTCGAAAAGAATGGGGACTTTTGGTCCCATCACTAAGACCAGAATTTAATGATGTAAGGTACCTTGATAAATAATTATCAAAGGAGTGGATTAGATAAACCTTTTATTTTGGAACCAAATTTATATAAAATATAGATTGGATTTTGTCTTTTACAGCTATTAAAGTCAATTTTCTTAAAGTGCTTTGGAATGTTTTGTATTCAGCCTACTGGTTTCTTTTTGTGGTTTTCATGTTTTATTTCTAAGTGATTAGCAAACATATTTTAGGCTATTGTTTGAAAGCCCTTCTCCAGAGATGCAGCTGTGGGAAATGTATTAATAAAGAAAAATCGAACTCTTTGTCTACATTAAGGATATGCATAGAGGTGTATAATGGACACATACATATACCTTTTTTTTCAGCTTTTCTAGGCAATTTTGTGGGTCAGCTTCAGTTAGGAACTGGTTGTGCCTTCAACTCTCACAGGATACATTGGATCTTAATAGTTGTGTTATTCTTTGCCTGAAAGAAAAGAACTCTGAATTTTGGAATACGTGTGGCGGTCCAGCCGTCACAACACGAACAAGCCTGAGTCGGGGAGTGAGGATTGAGAAAGGAAAGAACACTCCAGCCTGAGTGGAGACGAAGAGAAGTCTGATTTATTTCACAGAAAGAGCTCCTTTTATAGGTTCACAGCAACAGGAAGCTTTTAAGGGCACACAACAACAAAAAACACCAAGTCATTGTTTTTCAAAGACCAGATTTCCTGACTCTTACTGATAACATCAGATCTTCGGCTAACGAGCTTCCTGTTATGTCAGGGTGAAAGAGTCAAAACCAGCTTAACAAACAGTTTCCTTGAAGAGTAGCAAATGTTGATGCCTTAATTATACAGGAAGAAGTTATTTTCCAAATGTCAAACTCCAGTGGGCCATGACTGGGCCCCGACAAATATGAACCTAAAATGAAACCTTTTTCTAGTTTACACACACCAAATGTCACTCCAGTGGGCCATGACTGGGCCCCGACAAATATGAACCTAAAATGAAACCTTTTTCTAGTTTACACACCATTTTGCCATGTTTTGTCAATCTTAAATTCAGCCTGCACATAAATTAATTTTGGAATTTCTCCAGCCTGTAACTCCTGGTTAACTTTCCTGAAAATGTGTTCTTTTTGCTTCTTGCAGTAAACTAGAACCACTTATTTCAAGAGTTCTTACCATTCCTTGGTGAGATTGCTATAGACAGTTCTATGTTAATTTAGTTATTTGAATGCTAAATGTATAACCTCAAATGTATATAATTTGGCTGGGAGTATAGCTCAGTGGTAGAGCATCGCTTAATTTAACATGCTTGAGCATTAGGGTTGAATCCTAGTGCACACATACACATGTGCACACATACAATAGATCATTTATCTTTTGATTCGTATGAAACCATAGAAACTAAACCTATTTTCAAATTAATTGCAAAGAAAATTATCAAACATAAAATTCAAACTGAGTTAATTGTGAAGATTGTTTTGTTGTTGTTGAATTTGAAGGTAGTTCTTTTGAGGTTAGTATGCATAATCTGCCTTGAACTGTGTAATGAATTGGTTCTTTTACTATTGGTTGTACATTTTTTCTCTGCTACAAATATTTTTCTCTTTTCTTTGATTAAATTAGAAATTACTCTTTAGATTCCAGTTTAAATATCATGTCTTCAGGGAAGCCTTCCCTAACAACTGGAGTCATGAGAACAATTCAGTGTAATCCCTAGCTGTATAGTTTATGGATCTCTATTCTAATAACATTTCCTGTGGATTTTTACTGTTATGGCAATATACACATGGCGCAATTTTTTACCATGTTAACTTTTTTTGTTTTTAGACAGGGCCTAACTGTGTAGTTTAGGTTTGCCTTGAACTCAGCAGTCTTCTTGCCTCAGCCTCCTGAGTGCTGGGATTAAAGGCATGCACCGTCATACCTGGCTATGTTAACTACTTTTAAGTGTAAAATTCAGTACATTCACACTGTTGCATAACCATCATTCCTACTGATCTTCAGAACTCTTCACCCTATGAGAATAAAACACTCTACTGATTAAATAAGTCTTTATTCTTCCCTTCTTTCATCTCCTTTCTAACTATGAATTTGACTACTCTAGTTGCCTAATGTAAGTGGAATTATGCATTTTTAATGACTTATTTCTCTTAGCAAATAGTTTTGTTAGCTATACCCTTAAAGCTTGGGAGTACATAGTGAGGCCCACTGAACCACCAGTTAGGAGCTCCCTGCGGATTTTATCCGTGTTACAGCATATGTCAGAATTTTTCTCATTTTTAAGGCTGAGTATTCCATTGTATATATAACATTTTGCTTGTATATTAGTCTATTAAATATATAAAAATTAAAAAGTGGAGTTTCAAAACCAAGTTAGAATAATACCAGCTTAATGATCAATCATGTATTTACTGAAATCTTTATTTCTTCATACGATTTCAAATTACTATCTATAGTGTTCTTTCAATCTGT